CAATGGCCTCCAACCTAATAGCAATGGCCTCCAACCTAATAGTGATGGCCTCCAACCTCATGGCGATGGCCTCCAACCCAATAGCGATGAAGGCCATCGCTATTAGGTTGGAGGCCATTGCCATTAGGTTAGAGGCCATTGCTATTAAATTGAATGCCATTGCAAGTTGGAGGCCCATTTCTATTAGGTTGGAGGCCGTGGCTGGTAGGTTGGAGGCCATCCCTAGTAGGGCGGCGGCCATCGCTATTGGGTTGGAGGCCATCGCTAGGTTGGAGGCCATCGCTATTGGGTTGGAGGCCATCGCTGGTAGGTTGGAGGCCATCGCTATTAGGTAGGAGGCCATCACTAGTAGCGCGGAGGCTGTTTGTAGGGTGGAGGCCATCGCTAGTAGGGTGGAGGCCGTTAGTAGGGTGGAGGCCATCGCTACAAACTTATGCTGAGAAGCTCGCAGTCCAAGGCCGGCAGCTTGGCCACCTGCCGCGCCAGCCACGCATCCGGCAGCGGCGGAGGGGCGCAAGCCTCCCAGTCACAGCCACTGAACACGAGTTCTTATATATCCCATCTCTGATCCCAATCTAGGAGCAAAGGGCATCGCTACTAGGAACAAGGACGCTACTAGCGGCCCCTGGCCGTACTACTAGTAACAAGAAGCTACTAGGGGCTCTCGGCATCGCTACTAGGAGCAACAATCAAAAGATTGGATCAATTCCAGCTACGATTTCAACTGGCCAAACTTCGAAGAGTTACTCAGAGTCACTTGTCGCTGAATACTCAGGCAAATAGGGGTGATTGGTGATTCGCACCATCTCTGTGCATGTTCGGGTGGCCGCCAAGCCGCTACGACATCCTTTCGGCTGCTACGTGTTGCGCCGCACCTTGGGTCCCGAGGCGAAGCTGCCGGCGGACTCCATGCCGCCCTCCGATTTCCTGACCGAACGACGAGAACGACGAGAACGACGAGAACGATTTCCTGACCGATGTGCGATGTCCTCAAGAAGCAGGATCCTTCACCGAAGGACCAGTGAGTGCATTCCTGAAAGGAAGTCACTGACATCTCGGAGTAGCAATGGCCTCCAACCTAGAGACTCTTCAAGAGGCATCTCCCACCTGAATCTGCCAGCAGGCACGAGCACAAATGCCGACATCATCGCTATGAAACTTGTCTGTGCTCCTGCAATCAAGTCCAGCTGCTCAGAAGCTCTGCAAAACAGTCCCAAATGTCTTTCCCTCTGTCTCTCCTGCAATCATTCTGCCAACATCCAGTGCTACCGAAGAAGTTCAGATCAACAAAAATGCCATGAGCACCGGCATGACGGTAGACAATGCCTCAGAGTCAGCGGTAGACATCGCTGCAGAGACGAGCACTGCTCAGTTTTCACATGTCTCCACTAGTCTCGGCTTGTCCAAATCGAAATCGGCCTTCTTCAATGCACTCCTCGGATGCAATCTGTCACAAGGAAACATGTTCAGAATCGGTCTACCTCAGACTCAGTTGATTCTAATTGCAAAATCTATATTACACTCCGACGAACACATCACATAGAAATGGAAAACCACCTGTTTGTAGAGGACAATGGTCTTCCTCAGAGGCCATTTTCCACTTCCATGTTAGTGAGTCAGAGTGTATCTTGACTGATCCTGATCTCAGCGAGCTGCGGGATAAGTTGCAGACGCAGAGACGGTTTTCCGCAAAAGAGCAAGTTGAACAAGCTGACGAAGCTTCAACCATCGGCGCATTGCATCAAGGGCACTGCCATCATATTCTGCTACTTGTGTTCCACGTACTCTAAGCACATCTCAAACATCTAAGAACATTGCATCAATGAAGACACTTCATGAATGTTCTAAGTCCTGTGTTTTGGGGGCTACTTGAGCCACGACACATAGCCACAGATTCAATTCAAGGCTGTGACGACACATAGCGCACAGCCGTGCACAGCCACACCGCCAGAGGTCGCGTCTCTCCTCAAAGAAGCTGGACCACTGCCGCCTTCGGGGCTCCTTGACTCCAAAAGGAGGCGATCAAGAACGGGTTTGAAGAAGATCTTCTTTGGTGTTTTCTCTAGAAAAGGCCTTTCCACCTGAATGTCGCTCCTGTATCAAGAAGCTAGGAAGAACTTCCTGTTGAGAGGACCTGAAAAAAGAAATATGAGTGGCTGAGTTGCTTTCTTCACCTCACATCCAATGGCCTTGGTGCTCTGGTACTGCTCAATGGTCCTGGAGATTTACTGTCCACCTAGTCCTCTCGTGAGCCTTACTTTAGGCCTTGCCAGCGATGGCCTCCAACCTACTAGCGATGGCCTCCAACCCAGAAGCGATGGCCTCCAACCGAAGGAGATGTACTATTGTGTCACGCATGGTTTTGCCAAACCGCGCTTGCACTCGCTGCACTGCTCCTGGCTCCAGTGCCTGCAGCCTGTCAGCATGATGCAAGATAGGACGCGCTTCATCAAAGGCACGACGTTGGAACATGTCTGTTTTCCCAAGCCTGTCAAACAGGGTCTCTCTGCAAACAGGCATCAATCGGGGGTCAAGCCAGCGAGAGAGCGCGATCAGGTCAACACGCAGCTTCCTATCCTTCCCAGTTAGGTCGGCTCATGCAGTCAGAGACATCATGGTTGGTGGAGTCGGAGACTTGATTAATTTATGAAGACTTGATTAATCCAAATGTAAGGATTGATAGGTAATGGGCACTGCGGCACTGCGGCTGCACTGCATCCCGAGATGTTGATCACCTCGATAAGCTGCACCTTTTGAGCCTTTTGAGCGCGGCCTTTTGAGCCTTTCGTTCCTCCATGTTCCTCCCGCTACTAGTAACAAGGGCATTACCAGTAGTAACAATACAATCTATACAGTAACAAGAAGCCACTAGTAGCTGAGGGGATTACTACTAGTAGTTAGAAGCTACTACTAGCAACAACGGCATTTTGAGCCTTTTGAGCGCCCTGTATCTGGTCAGTGTAGCACACGCATTTGAGACCGACTTCACTGCCGGCACACGTCCTTTCAGCTTCTTTTCAGGTGCCGGTAAGCCAGAGGAAGTGTTTCTGCATGCACATTAGCATGACATGAGAGACTCTGAAGAAACATATTGAATGTGTCATCAACTTGGCTTGAGCCTGTCAACAGGAGTCCCACATTCGTTGCGGCAGAGTCCCCCACGAGCGTTGAAGGTAAATATGAAAACAAAGCAGCCTGACTTTGTCAGATAGCTCCACAAAAAATGCTCTATGAAAAGTCATGATCGGATACGTTGTGCAAGATCATGTCGGCCAAGTGAAACAAATCGAAACAACTCAAACAACCCGTTCAAGTCTGTTCCTGGCTCCTTACTTGTCATTCAATTCCTCTCCCACGACAGGATTGCGTTTGCCTCACCGGTTTCTCCCATCACACCGCGTTCAAAGCACTTGATGCCGCCAGCACCGACGACAACATGCGAGAAGGCACTTCTGAGATGTTTTTGCACCCAGCCAACCTGGGCAAACTGAGTCGTATGCAAAGTCATGCTGCATTTTGCGGGCGTCAACAAACCAAACAACAGAACGCAACAAAACGATGCAAGTGTTTGTTTTCCTCACTTTGACCTGGGCAACTTAAAGGTGCACTCCAACTCATCGTAGAGCAAACGCAACATTCCTTGGCCCAAACATGAATAGAAACCGTCAAAGTGTCCATATCTTTGTCATTTCTGATGCAGCAACAACTCATTTGAAATGCATGGAAAGCCCGTCGGTATGTGACGGTCCGTGCGTCGTCAAAGCCGCCAAAACTCAGACAAGGAGCGTGACACTCCGTGTTCTCCACCGACGGCCAATGCAAAAACTGCAGGACCTGAGCAGAAGGAAAGGCGGATGTCAATGCAGGTTGTGAAGCCAGGTATGCATTGCACGGAAACCTAGGACGAAGTTTGTTGGCTGTTTCTTCCGATCGCAGCCCCCAAGGATTCCCCAAGGGGGTGCCCAATTCTGTGGCCAGTCCACAAATTCAAACTCAGCATGTCATGTCTTTTGCTTGCCAGAGCTACGGCAACTCTTGTTCACTTGCCTAGTCCAGACAAATCACGAGTTAATCGGTACTAGCGATGGCCTCCACCTTACTAGCGTTGGCCTCCACCTTACTAGCGATGGCCTCCACCTTGCTAGCAATGGCCTCCACCCTACTAGCGATGGCTTCCACCCTACTAGCGATGGCCTCCAACCTATATTCTTCTTCTTCTTCTTATTCTTCTTCTTATTCTTCTTCTTATTCTTCTTCTTATTATTCTTGTAAACAGCGGCACCCGAGATCCTACGAAAGAACGAAGGAAGCGGAATGCGCACACTGCTTTGTGCCGTTGGAGCCAAATGCTCAAGGCCTGTCGGCCGCAGTGAAACACATCCAAAGGCCAAACATGCTCATTCACATGCCTTCTATTTTATGTGGCCTTTGGATCCGCACAAGTGAAAAAGGATACCAGTCTATGGCATCGATCTTCCATCTTCGCCTGGAGGTTTGCCATCTTCTTCAGGTCGGCTTTCTCCTCAAGGATCCTCCACTCGTGTTGGCCATCACTCCTCTTGTAGCAGGCAACCGAAGTCCGGTACTGATGCTTGTTCACATCAAACCGGGGAGCTGGGCTTCGGTAACTCATCGCTCCATGGGCCACGTGGATGGGAGTTCCATCTTTGTAGTGCCACCCATTCTGCTCTGCCACCATGAGGACGTGCTCCATCAAGGACTTGTCTCTGTCCTGAACTGCCCGTCCGGGCATCTCAACCACAGCCACCGCTGTCTTCACAGACTTCTTGGTCTGCTTGGTGAAACTCTCGTTGTACTCGATTGACCACTCTCCCTTCTGCAAGGTCTCTCGCAGCGCTGAGTTGTCCATCAGCTTCGTGCCAGCATCCACAAAGAGGTTTGTGGCGCTTGTCCACCTGTAGCCAGTACATGGCCGTCGAAGTTGTTGACGAAGAGCTGCAAGGCTGAAAGCCAGGCTTTTCTGCGAGCCAAACCCAGTGTCTTGTGTAAGACGATCATAGGTATCTTTCGCATCGGTGACTCCGATGAGGCTCACAGCGCAGACATTGAGATGTCCTGATCGACATGCGATGTCGATTTTGCGCAGCTCTGCTATGAAGCCGCGACACAGTTCTCCTGCGTCTAGACCTTCTTCAGCGCCAAGCGTTTCTGCCGCGTAGGAACTGCGACACACTCTCTGAAGTCGGTGACTCCTGAAGTCGAGCAAGTTGAAGCTGCCAGGCTTTCCCAACATCATCTGCTCGTCTGCCAGCAACACTGCGTAGCAGGACTGGGAGTGCACCTTCTCGGTCGGCATGGCGTCCGTGCAACCATTGGCGGTCACATTGCCGAGTGCAGCATCGGTCACAACCATGATGCCACCATGGGTGTAGCTGACCGGCTTGAACTGCAAGGTGAAGTCCTTGGTCCTCTTGGCCTCCTCGACCACCTTGTTCACTCGAAGCACTGTGCCAACTGTTGGTCGCTCTGACTGAAGACTGCTTACAGAGAAAGAGAGGTCGAATCTCAGCTGTGCAACAAGCCACTGCAAGGCTCCCAAAACACCTTTGAGCTTCCTCACTTCTGTGGCATTCAGCAAGCTTGCCACATCTTTGCGCCTTTGTCGAGGCATCTGCATTCCAGTGAGGTTCTCGTGGTACCTTACCATGGTCAAAGTGACTCTTCCGTCAGGTTCACAAGTGAAGGTTTTGCCACACCAGCTGAATGGCGGAGCATCCATGGATCCAAAACCGATCCTTTCTCCCAACCGGCTCAGAGAAGCTTCAGCCTCCTTGTCACCACTCATGAGTAAGTAGTCGAAATGAGCTGCCAAGATGCTTGTGAAAGCACCTGTAGTGTCAAATCTTAGCCACAATGCCAAGTCCAAGCTCGAGCGAACCCAGCCATCCTGACCAAGCTTTAGCAACACAACCAGCCGGAATCCCAATCGTCGGACCTGTCTTGGGATTGGTCCCACGGATGTACAGCTGTCTCTGCACGTAGGGATCTCCTTTGAGGAAAGCTGCTCTGACATCAGCGCTCAACAAACACCAGTCAGGGTTCGAGGCACAAACACAACACACCACATGCTGTGCTATTCTTGAAGCTGTCGGTGAGTCAGTTCGAAGTTCACCATTCAGGTTGGCAAGATCACGAAATCCTGGCACGATGATTCGTGCATTGGCCTTCAAAGGAAGCGGACACTCTGGAGAGCGAAGCTTGGAGTTCTTGTCCACCAAGATGAAGCGGGGGTTCATGATCCGCTCAAGCTCGCCTTTCATCTCCAGCTCCTGTTCCACTGCTCTGGATTCCTCAGGGTTCAAGGCAGTCACAGCCTCATTCTCCAGCCACTTTCCACTGGTCAGCCGCTGCAACGCGGAAGGCCTGTCTTGTGTCTTCGTCCATCTCTGACCATTTGAGTTCACGTCCGTGAGCAGCAGTAGTCAAAGCCTCCTTAGTGTCACTGTTGGAACCACTAGGCCATGTCATCTGAAGCTTCTTGACGATCTCAACCTGTCGTGCGGTCGGGCGAGACCATCTTCCATCCCAACTGCCGTGATCATCTTCTCCATGATGGCCGTTCTCTATGTCCTCCTGGGCTTTGTTGACTGCCTCAAGAAGTGGATGTCTCAGCTCAGCTGTGAGGACATCGATCGCTTTGCCACCAAGTCGAAGAGGCTCCAGGATCCTCCTCCGAACGGCCTGTCTGTCGTCCGTTGGCTCGGACAGTGCTCTTCTCACAGCACCTTGCGCTTGCTCCAG